GGGACCAAAATTGGGTGGTAACATCCTATCATTGTGGCCAACTCTGGGTAGATCGCCTACTATATGGAAAAGTTCCACCTGCTGGTTGTAAGCTTCGCTTATCCGGTCAGCGAAGAATGCTCTTCTAGCAACCTTTACCTTTAGACGCGATCCTGGTGGCTTTTAGATTAATTTCTGTTGGGACCCTTCTCCAAATGCTCTCTAGCCTTCTCCAATTATGCTTCATGGTCCTCTGCTGCTGGTTAAAAAACCAGGGGACTGAGTGGGCTCGGTGGCGGAGAGCAGGGAGGACAATCTGAAAGCCACCCCTGGCTCCAAATGACACGTGGATGGCCTTTAGACCTGGGCTTGCCACCACAAGTATGTCCTTATAAACAATGGCAACTCCACCCCCACCCACCTGGCCTGCCCTGGTGTTGGATGGCATACCCAGGTGGGCATATGAGGGAAAGAGTAGCTCCGCCGTCAGCACCCACCCACATCTCAGTTATACAGGCCAGGCCTGCCCGTTCCTCCAGGATCAAGTCCTGGATGAGTTGGATTTTGTTATGGGCATACCTGACATTTATCAACACCAGGGACAGAGGTGGGGGGGGGGAGGCTAGGCTGGCAAAGAGCTAGAACAGGGGACAGCCTTTAAACGTCTGTCTGCTGCTCTTCTAAGTTTGATCACTACTGCGCCAACACTTACAATCCTGAGTAAATGTGGTGTTGTAGCAAAACTTTCAAACCAAATAGTTTGTTTTCAAAGAAGAAAGACCATCTCTATTAGATTCAGGTTCACAATTAGCAACAAGTAGTGAGTGGTTGAGGTTCAGCAGCAGCATTATAATGGACACGCAGGTGACTAACTAACTCAGTACAAACTCAGAAGATATGGAAGCCATGAAGGCAGATTAGCTGATCCTGGGCTTCTTGAGCTGTCAAGAATTTACTCTGTGTGTGCATGCATGCGCGTGTGTGATGTGGAAAGGTACTGCATAGGAGGACAAAAATTCAGCAAACTGGAAAAATTATTTTAACTCGTATACAGTACTTTTTAAAAATTGTGTGCTTGTTTGTTCTCACCTTTTAATGCTGTCTCTTCATGTTTGCTGAGTCTGCTGTTCATATAACATCAGAAAACAGAGGAAACGGCAGACTCTCAATTCAGCCCATAGTGCTTCCTGGCTCCTTAATTAAGTCTCTTCACAAAAGTGAGCAGAGAAGCACTTGTGCCAAGGGTTTTTAACACATATAAAGTCCCGCTCCGACAGGGATGACAGGCTACATGGATTTGTATTGATACTCATTAGGCCCATTAGAAAGAAACCTAGTTTGGCGGCGGACGAAATTGGCAACTACAGGCCCGCCGCCAATGTTTCTTTCTTAAGCAAGGTAGTCGAGAGGGTGGTGGCCGATCAGCTTCAGGCGCTCCTGGATGAAACAGATCCCCTGGATCCATTCCAGTCGGGCTTCAGGCCGCGCCACGGTACAGAAACGGCATTGGTCGCCCTGTGCGATGCCCTATTGAGGGAGGCCGACAGGGGCAAACCGCCTCTGCTGGTCCTCCTCGACATCTCAGCAGCCTTTGATACCATTGACCACGGTATCCTCCTGGGGAGGCTCACTGAGTTGGGAATAGGTGGCCGGGCTCTGGCCTGGCTCCGTTCCTTCTTGGAGGACCGTCCCCAGAGAGTACAGCTTGGGGAGAGCGTCTCGCCCCCGTGGAGTCTCAATTGTGGGGTTCCACAGGAGTCGACCATCTCCCCAATGCTGTTCTACATCTATATGAGGCCGGTGGGTGGGGTCATCAGGGGGTGTGGAGTTTTGTGTCATCAGTACGCGGATGACACTCAGCTCTACATCTCCTTTTCACCAACTGCAGGAGATGCCGTTCTGTCCCTCCAGCGCTGTCTGGAGGACGTACTGGAATGGATGCAGGAGAACGGGCTGAGGCTGAACCCGGACAAGACGGAGGTCCTAAGGGTGGGCGCCCCAACAGTTGAGGATTTGGGAAACTCCCTCTCTTTGGGGGGGTGACCCTGCCTGCCAAGGATGGGGTCCACAGCTTGGGGACCCATCTGGACCCAGCACTCACTATGGAATCCCAGGTGGCGTCTGTGGTCCATACCGCCTTATTTCATCTTAGGAGGATAGCCCAGCAGCGATCCTACCTTGATGTTGGGGCGCTCACCACCTTGGTGCATGCGCTCGTCATCTCAAGATTAGACTACTGTAATGTGCTCTACGTGGAGCTACCTTTGAGGTTGCTGCGGAAACTGCAGGTGGTGCAGAATGCGGCGGCCAGATTACTCAGGGGAGTGAGAAAATACCAACATATCTCACCCACTCTGGCTGCATTGCATTGGCTGCCCATCCGATTCCGCATCGACTTCAAAGTGTTGATGCTCACATATAAAGCCCTAAACGGTTTAGGACCTCGATACTTGGCGGAACGCCTTCTCCCGCCAAGAACTACCCGTGCCACTCGTGCGAGCCAGGAGGTGAGGCTGAGGAGCCTAACGCCGAGGGAGGCCCGGAAGGAGAAGACAAGAAATTGGGCTTTCTCGACAGTGGCTCCTCGCCTCTGGAACAACCTACCTCCTGAGATTCGCGTGGCTCCCTCGCTGGTTTTTTTTAAGAATCAAATAAAAACATGGATGTTTAGGCAGGCCTTCCCATCAGATAATTCATGACGCCCTTTTTCCCCCCCTCTTCTTCAGTTTTCCCATTCTGTTCAGTATTTCTGTTATGTAAAATTGTCTTTATACAGTGGTGCCTCGCATAACGATGTTAATTGGTTCCAGAAAAAAAAACATTATGTGAAAACATCGTTATGGGAAGCACCATTTCCCATAGGAATGCATTGAAAACCGGTTAATCCGTTCCAACTGGAACGGATTATCCGTTTTTTTCCCTCCCCCCGCGGCTTGGATCTGACCCATGGCGGCTACCTCAGCCATGGCTGGACTCCCTAGAGTCCGGCCATGGCTGGGGTAGCCGCTGCGGTTACCCTTTAAGCGGCGGGG